GATTTAGCTAATCTTCAAATTCCTCACCTACAGAGGGAAAAATAAGAAGTCAGATGACATTTGAAGACTCTTGTGGAAAACTATGCCATAATCCTCACCCCTTTGAGCTTTAGGGAACTTGGAATATGACATTCATCCAAGTCAGAAAGAATGATTGAGAAGAGACTATGTGGAGGGTTAAATAGCTGGGCTAATGTTTTAAGGACATGTCCACCCCACTGCTTGAGAAATACAAGGTGAGAAAGCATCATAATAGAGGAGAGTAGGCAGACATGAATACAAGCAAAGAAAGAAACTAGAGGTAGTGCACAATGCTTCAATGCTGAGGAAGGGGTAAGCAAGGAGTCTCAGGGGAGCATCCCATTTGCACCCACAGGCTGCTGCAGCACCGCTCTGGAGGCTGGTGGTGTTTCTGAAGAAACCACAAATGTGCTAATGAAAAAGCACCAGCTTTAAATACCGAGTAGTTCAGGCCAGGATCATTCATATAGCCAAGAACTTTACTATGCTCCACATATTTCCTCTCCTCCCATGTCCCAAACGTAATCAGTCTGAAGCTGCCTCTGGGAAGTGGAAGTAGCAAGGAAAGCATCTAATTTAAGCAGAAATATGGTGACAACATGATTATTCTTCTTGGACTGCTGGTCTGCAAATGGCCAAAAGTGGCTGAGAAGAGAGGTCTCAACACTAAACAACCATGGAGATGTACATCAATCAACACTGTGTGTGTATGTGTTTAAAGATTTATTCATTTATTTGAAAGGCAGAGTTACAGAGTGAGAGAGAGCGAGAGAGAGTGAGAGAGAGCCAGGGAGAGCGAGGGAGAGTGAGGAAGAGCCAGGGAGAGCGAGGGAGAGAGGGGAGAGAGAAAGGAGAGAAAGAGAAAGAGAACACCACTGCTTCACTCCCCAAATGGCCACAATGGGCTGGTCTGAGACAGCACATATGAGACCCACATGGAGTTTCAGACTCTTGGTTTCATTTTGGCTGAACGTCAGCTGTTGCAGACTCTTGTGGAGTGAACCAGTGGATGAAAGGCACCTCTTTCTCTCCTTCTGTCTCTGTCACTCTACCTCTCAAATAAAGTTTTACTTTAAAAATATATTTCTTTTTTAAATGTATATCCTTATTAAAAAAAGACAAAGGTAGACAAAAATAAAATTGCTTTTGTTTACTTTATCCCATGATCTGCGTTCATTTGTTGGAACTGTTACAATGATCAGCCCGCCTTCACAAGAAGGCATTTTTTTCCCCAGTAAAGTGATACTGTTATAGATTGCAAATAGGCAATGAGTGAGCTCCCTCACAGTTGCAGTGTGGTTCCATTACACAATATAATCTTTCATGACTTTGACACAATCATTGTGGTGGGGCTTTGATTCCAGGTACATTGCACATTTACAAGAACTAGTTCCTCAGAAATAGGAAGTTGTGGTCCCATAAGCAAGGAAGACACTTCGTTTAGTGGTGTCATGTTTAAAAAAAGATTTGAGAAGGATATGAAACTGCAAAACACCATGCAACCTAGAGTACTTCTCAAGTGACAGAGAAATAGCTCCAATCGATTTTAACATCCCATTAAAGCCAGCCAACAAACCAGGGAATGTATTTTCTGCAATAATGAAGCATTCCTCTGGAGATGTGGCCTTGGTAGAACAAATAAAAAGGGCAATTTCTTCTATTAATTCAGTTCACTCTGGCCATTGATAGGAATATGGCATCAGATTCCTGAAAATCTCACACTTGAGGGAAAATGTCTACAATAAATACAGTTGAAATATAATGTGAATGATCAGTTCCATTGTATCACGTACCTGAAAGTAACAGAATTTTTTCTTTCAGTTATTAAAAATACATTGAGTGAATGAATGAGAACTTTCATTAGAGTCTTTAAAATGATTGAGGTAAAAGCATAAGTGTTAAAGTAGAGGGGAAAGAGAGGTGGATAGGATTTGTCAGGGAAAGAATGTGTCCCTGATTCACTAACATGACCAGGCTTGATGGAGAGATGTACATATAAATCATTCAAACAATATTTTGGCCATACCAACTTTGTATACAAAAGTATTATACATGTAAACATGTAAACATAAAACATACTTTATAGTCAACTGTAAGAATATCATATGTGCTATTAAATTTAAAAAGATAAGAAAAGAACATACATGTTTGGTCATTACACATGGAAACATTTTTTTCTGAGCATATACGACACATACTTTTATTCTCACTGTTATTATCATATTTGGGAAATTTGGGAACATTGAGCTTGTTAGGATTATGAGAAATGATACAATGGTTCTACGAAGACATGTATACAACCGACCCTCTGTATTCTTCCCACCCCAGACACCAAAATCTGAAAATGCTCAAATGACTTATTGGTAAATGGTATAGAATCTGCATTGAAACCTACACACATCTCTTCTTCTACTGTAAATCATCTCTAGATTATGTCTACCTCATACTACAAAGTAAAAATGATCTAAATAGCTGTCTTGATACATAACATATTACTTAGGGAATAATGATAAATAAAAATGCACATTACAGAGTTTCAGCACAGACATAATTTTTTAAAAATATTTTCCAATCCATGGTTGATAGAATCTGCAGATATGGGACTTGCGAATACAGAGGGCCCACTGTAGGTGTGTATGTGTATATGTGTATGTGCTTTATGTATATATACACACATATATGTAAGTGTACATCATACAGATGTGTGTATATATTATATAAAAGTGTATAAACATTTGTATTTGTGTTGCGTGTGTGTGTGTGTCTGTATGGTAGAGAATGTGGAAGTTTCCACAAAAAGCAGGAGTAGAGAGCTCTTGATTAATACTCAACAGTCAAAGGAAGTTATCTGATGCATTGTGAAAACAACTTTTATGGAATGGTCTGTTTACACATGCTAGAAATAATTTGGGTTGAATCATTTCTTACTATATCCACTCAGCCGTCCTTTTTCCCCCTTCCTAGTAGTATACCTGGTTACCCACTACTGAGGATCCTATGGAGAAAAAATTGTAAGCTTATCCATGACTAAGGGTTTCTGTCACACAATGACAACAAATGGCATGAATCACTAGATATAACCTTGGAAAGATATATTCAGAGACATCCCATGTGACATATGGTGTCCTTCCCAAGTATTTGGCTCATCAATTCTCATTAAAAACTGTTTTGAAATTGAAATTCTTTTTTCCCTAAACTCTCCAGAAAAGAAATGTTCAGGTTAGCTCTGAAAGTTTGGGCTGCTCTGAAAGTCTAGGTCCAACCAATCTTGTCCATATCAACCACATGTAATTGTGTATGTATTAATGTAAAAACACAAATGTTGCCTTGTAATAAGCAGTACATCTGTTCAACAGAATGCTCAAAATGAATTATTTTGAAGAGTGTTTGAGTACTCAATAAAACCCGAGGAAGTTGTTAAAAATCAGGAACAAAGGGAATTTCTAGAACTAGAGCCCCCAAAATTCAGTACAAGTATAACTTCTGCACATATTTATTTTATTTTAAACTTTGTTTTGTGTGCATTTAATAGGTTTTACTATCATTTACTTATAAAGATAAATTTATATAATTTTGTAAACATTGTACATATACTTGAGTACAGATTTAACTTTTAAAATGTTCCATCAAAACTTTCCAGTGATCAGAAGTGAGAGCATGAGACTACCTCAGAGACTGTATTCTAGGTGAATAAGAAACCTCAAAATAATTAATGGTCACCTGAATGTGACACTTATAATATGTTAAGGAATGTGCAAAAATGTGTGTGTGTGTGTATGTGTGTGTTTGGGTGTGTAGCAATTTACAAGTAACAGAGAAAGTCTACACTAAAGTAAAAAACCTAGAAAGTTGGTTTTATGGCATTAAATTCATGTACAATAAATGTTTACCTTTAAAATTCCACATGAAAAGTAGTGATTAGGGGCTTAACAGGTAAAGCCGCCGCCTTCAGTGCCAGCATCCCATATGAGTGACAGTTGGAGTCCCGGCTGCTCCACTTCTGATCTAGCTCTCTATTATGGCCTGGGAAAGCAGTACAAGATGGCCCAAATGCCAGAAGAAGCTCCTGGCTCCTGGCTTTGTATCTGCAAAGCTCCAGCGGTTGTGGCCATCTGGGGAGTGAACCTACAGATGGAAGATCTCTCTCTCTCTCTCTCTCTCTCTCTCTCTCTCTTTCTCCCTGCCTCTGCCTCACTGTAACTCTGCCTTTCAAATAAATAAATAAATCTTTAAAAAAAGAAAAGTAATGATTATGAATTACTGGTACTGTTAGGATTTATTATCTTTGTTTTATGTCGTCAGATCTCTTCATGGATGCCCATTCAACTGTTACTTGTGGGTCAAGGTGTCAGTGAGCAAAATATTCTAAAATCTTGCTACAAGTAATTCAATAAATATTGTATTTATAATTTTCATCCTAGCATGTAACTTTAATTTTATCTATAGATTTTTTAAAGATTATTTATATTTGAAAGTCAGAGTTACACAGAAAGAGGAGAGACACAGAGAAGTCTTCCATCTGCTGGTTCACTCCCCAATTGGCTGCAACAGCCAGAGCTGCGCCGATCTGAAGCCAGGAACCAGGAGCTTCTTTGGGGTCTCCCACACAGGTACAGGGGCCCAAAGAGTTGGGCCATCCTCCACTGCTTTCCCAGGCCATAGTAGAAAGGTGGATCGGAAGTGGAGCAGTTGGGACTTGAACCGGCACCTATGTGGGATGCTGGCACTGCAGGCGGGCGGTGGCCCTACCCACTACACCACAGCACTAGCCCCATGTCTATAGGTTTTAATAACACTCCCATTAAAAGAGCAATGACAAATAAAATCAAAATCATGATATGAATTTAAAACAATCCAGTTGTAAGCAGCCAAGCCGTGAAGTTTACTTCCATTTACTTTTTCCTGTTCCACCTTACAATCAAGTCACACACTTTACTAAACTGAATTTACAAAGAAAAATAGGAATGGATGAGACTTACCAATGTAAAGCCTCCCCCCAAAAGATGATTAATGGCTGGAAGATGAAAAGTGTCAAACTCCTCAAGATTTCCCTGAAAGGGAAAGTGAAAGACATTTTAATTAACATTTTCTGGTGGTTATCAGAAGTGTAAGTCAGTTGATCAGATGAAAAAAGCAGAACAATAAAAATTGGCACCTTATGCATTAATACTATAAAATAATACAATAAATAGTGATATATATTATTTTTGCATATAAGATTATAACTCATATTTAAATAATATATAATTCTAAAATATTTCTCTGATATGAAAGTTCATGCTATAAAAATTCACTATGATTAAGCAAAAACTTTTCTGTTACTCAGCAACAATTTATTAAAACATAATTTGTATTTTATATATGATATTTTAAAACCTGTTTTTGAGCACTCTGGCCTCAAATCAGCCCTTTAGGCATTCGAATCTGGCTAAAAAGCCCAAGAGAGTATTTCAGGCATGGAAAGCCAAGACACTCTGGCAAACAAACAAACAAACAAACAAACCCTAAATGAAAGATCTCTGTGAGTGACATCCCAGCGGAAAGAACAGGCCATCAAAGAAGGAGGTACCTTTCTCTGAAGGGAGGAGAGAACTTCCACTTTGACTATGACCTTGTCTAAATAAGATTGAGTTGGCGAACTCAAGAGGCTTCCATAGCCTTGGCAGCTCATGACAAGAGCCTCGGGTGGTTACTGACACCATAAACAAGAGTGTCAATTGTTAAGTCAAAACATGAATCATTGTGCATTTACTCCCCTTGTAGGATCTCTGTCCTTAATGTGTTATACTCTGTGAATTAATGGTATAACTAGTACTCAAACAGTGCTTTATACTTCGTGTTTCTGTGTGGCTGCAAACTGTTGAAATCTTTACTTAATATATACTAACTTGATCTTCTGTATACAAAGATAATTGAAAATGAATCTTGATGTGAATGGGATGGGAGAGGGAGTGGGAGATGAGATGGATGTGGGTGGGAGGGAGGTTATGGGGGGAAAAAGCTGCTATAATCCAAAAGTTGTACTTTGGAAATTTATATTTATCAAATAAGAGTTAAAAAAAAACAATGAACATACAATTAAAAAAAAACCTGTTTTTGTTTGTCAGGATTACATAAGAAAACAAACCATTCACTTATTCCTTAGTGTTATACTGAAGATTTCTCAGATGCTCCTGTATAGATACAGAAGCATTAAGTCTATCAAATTAGGATTATTATCTATTTGACTCTCATATTATACCCAAACAACTCTAGTACTATGGGACAGTAGGTGACTTTTAAATTGACAACATAGGAATAAGCATATAATATCTGAGGCCCTGTCTTTGATAAAGTCTATCAAAACTTTTTATATATCAGGACAGAGAATATGAATATCTATCAAACAAGCAAACCTCAAAGAAAATTCATTTATAATTAAACATTTCTCTTAAAATCACACATTTAGTGGCAGAAAGTTTAATTGAGTGACAAAGAGCCATGATCCTATCAACTAGTTAATAATTAGGCTAGGCATTTTTTTCTTCAGGTCCTAAGAGGAATCTGCAAAATTTATGTTAGATCCTTTAACGTCCATTGTGATTTCCCAATCTGGTTCCTTCCTCACACACATGAAAGCTTCTTACATTTCTCTCTTCCTACAATGTTTATTTGCTACCTAGTCAAATTTTATGCTTTCTATCCCAAGTACAAGTTTTAGTTAATATCTGAAGTCATAATTTATTGTATTTCAATTCAAGAGGGAGAAAGGAGAAAGAGAAGGAGACAGATCAAAAGAAACTTCTCTAATCCTCTGATTCACTCTGCAAATGCCAGCAACACCAGGGCTGGGCTGGGGCCAAATTCAAGAGCCAGAAACTCAATCCAGGTCTCCTACATGGGTGGCAGGAACCCAATCACATGAGTCATCATTGCTGCCTGTTAGAGATGATGCAAAAGCAGGAAGCTGGAGTCAAGAGCCAGATCTGGGTATCAAAAGTGGGTCCTCTGATCTGGGACATGGCTATCTAACCTAGCAAACTTTTTCAACAGAGATATTGTCTATCAGCTGGTTCACTCCCCAGCCAAATCCTGAAACAGCTGGAGTTAGGCTAGTTTAAAGCCAGGAATTGAAAACTCATTCAAGGTCCCCCATGTAGGTGGCAGGGAACCAACTATTTGAGCCTTCATCTGTTACCTCCTAGAGTGACCATCAGCAGTAAGGTGAGTTGAGCCAGACTTGAACCAAGGCACTCTGATACGGGATACAGGCATCCCAACTGACAGCTTAACTGCTGTACCAAATGTCTAACCTCTTAACTAACATATTAATGGGTAAGATAAACACCCCTTCCTCCAACACACACGCCTCTTGAATTTCTGTTGTACCTGTAGCTTGCTGTAATACTAATATATTTCATCATATAGTTAGCTTATTTCTTCAAGTACATTTTTAGTTCAGTATTTTGTTGTGTTCAAATTATATTAGAATTTTAACTACTTAGCAGGGACCACAGATAGTCTGAAATTATCAACGTTTGAAATGACCAATGTCAGAATCTCAACTGGCTGTTTAAGAATTACCTTTTAGTTTTGAAAGAAAGAAACTGTTGTTCCAGATAATTTAGCAAATGATTTTTTTAGGACTAACACAAACCTAGACTCAAGACTAATGAAAACTAAAAATGGAACTACTAGGTTCAACATATTTTAAGGAAAAAAAATGATAAAATATTATAAGTACTACTATGATCTTCTGCTTAACTTACCAGAACCTAAGAAAAATAACATTATTACATTATTGAATAACTAGTTAGTGTCAGATGCTTTATAAATGCATATTTCATCAATCATAAAATAAAACACAAAAAGGAGGTACCATTGATTTTCCTTCTTTTCAAATGAAAAATCCAAGGCAAAAATATTTAAGCTATTTGCCCCAAATCTCTTACTAAATCTGTGTAGCTGGAATTTAAGTGCAGATAATCTGACTCAGATTCTATAATTCTAGCTACAATAATGTGTTACCTGCTTCCATAAGTCACATATACAAAGTGAATGACAGGGAATATTAGAGGACAAAATAGGAAATATATGTCATAAATTATCAAAATGTGGAACTAATATTTTTTCAAAAACTGTGGCACTTCCTAAAGTATTCCATTCTTTATACCCCTCACCCAAAACACCCTAGGTATTCTTAGAAAAAATGTTTTCTTATAAACATAGCCAAAAGCTATAAATTTGTTATTTACATATAGGGCTTAAATTTAAGAGTTGGGAAAAAAAAAAACCCTGATATTCCTTTTTGGATACTTACAGCACCAACTAATAATATCACACACATTTTTATTAGAATTTAAATTATGGAATTTGATTAAGGGTTTTTTTTTTAATATCTATTATTTGAAAGAGAGACAGAGATTGGGAAAGGGACAGGAAGAGAGAGTGGGGGAGAGAGGGAGAGGGAGAGGGAGTGAGAGAGGGTGGGGGGGAGGGAGAGAGAGAGAGAGAGAGTCTTCCATCCCCTGATTCACTCCCTAGATGGCCACAAACAAGCATAGCTGAACCAGGCTGAAACTAAGAGCCAGGAACTAAATCTGGATCTCCCACATGGGTGGCAGGAACTCAAGCACTTGAGGTATTAGCTGCTTGCTTCACAGATGCATTAGCTTGGGACTGTAGTTGGAAGTTTAACCTGCACTCAGATATAGGATGCCAGCATCCCGCGTGGAGGTCTAACAATTTGTACCACAAAGCATACCCCTTAGTAAGATTTAAAATGGGATTTTACTTTTTTTAAGATTTATTTATGTATTTGAAAGGCAAGTAGAAACAGAGAGAGAGAAAGATAGAGAGAGACACAGAGAGAAACACACACACACACATACACACACACACACAACACAGAATATTCCATCTACTGGTTCACTTCCCAAATAGTTACAAGAGCCACGGCTGGGCTAGGCTGCATCCTGCAGCCTGGAATTCCATCAGAATCTCCCACATAGGTGGCAGGAACCTAAGTACTTGGTCCATCTTCTGCTGCTTTCCCACAGGCTAAAGAAGGGAGCTGGATTGGAAGTGGAGCAGGTAGGACTCAAACTTGCACTCATGGGATATGGGATTGCAGGTGGCAGCTTAACGTTAAGCACAGTGTCACAATGCTGGCCCCTAAAATGGCTTTTAAATTGGAGTTCTACATTCATATTGCTGTTCTTGAACATCTTAAAGAGTTGTGTACTGTATTACTAAGTATAACATATTTATGACAAATATAATTTTGAGTTTTTGTGTTACAAAATTTGTTTTTCTTAATCAACCCTTTTCCTAAACTAGCCTTTTATTTTCTAATAATAAAATAGTATTCAATAATGGTGATATTCAGAACAGCAATACTCTTACCCTTTCTTTCTGGAAGCTGATTTACTACAAAAAGCACTTTTCAAGACTTATAGAATATACTTACCATTGAGACAGATACTGATGAGTACATCCCCACCCCCCAAAAAAAGTTAGGAAAACCAAGTCTCAAGCTGGTTGGATAATGGCCCAATGTGAAACAACAGGTTCCTAGAAGAGCTTGGACTTTTCCTCTGCTCTTTACAGCTGTAGTTCTTGTTGTTTCTTCTTTTATTCTGCTACGTCACATTGTTTTCATTTTCTGGCACTTCATGTTTGTATTTAGCTTTCACAGAAAGCAGTTAATAACAGACTCACACACACATGTACAACATAACAAGTATGTTGTATAAAATGCTATTTATTTCTAAGCTCATTATTTACATAAGATCTTGAATTATAAATTTAGAAGTCAATTCACCACTCTTCATACAGTCTAATCACTTTACATAATTCCACAGTATCAGAGTTGCAAATTAAATTATATCTATATCCCATGGCCATTGATTTAATTCTTAGAACACCAAGGCTGACTATAAAAACATATTATAAACACCAGTAGTTGGGTAGAAAAGGACTGGGGCAAAGGGGATATTATAAAAGTATACCTGGGGCCGGCACTGTGGCATAGCAGGTAAAGCCATCGCCTGCTTTGCCGGCATTCTATATG